TCTATCTATCTATCTATCTATCTATCTATCTATCTATCTATCTATCTATCTATCTATCTATCTATTCCCAAGGAGGTATCATATTCAAATCAGTGTTTACAACAATCCATCTATTAAATTAAGTTTACAAAGAATGAAGAGTGGGACATATACTGCCCTGTTTTTTTTCTGGTTCCTAATACATTGTTTGGCATTGTTTGGTAATTTAGAATGATGTATCAATTGTAAGGTTATAGATCTTGTAAAGGCATCACAGAATCTTTAATATCCTTTTAAGTCTCCCCTGTGAGGTTGGAATGGCATTTCAGGATCCTTAAGACATTTTAAATTTTACGGAGACATCTGAGAGGATAAATCTAATATCAAAAACTCCTCCGTGCTCCTTGGAGTTTCAGAGGTCAGATTTTTTTTCCCAGTAGGAAAGGATGTACTGAGAAAATACTTTGGATTTGTTAGGTCCAAACCCATCAGCTAGACAAACATTTAACATAAGAAATAACTAGGGGTGGGATTCAACCAGTGTAACAACTGGTTCAGTGAGTGCGTGTGCACACGTGCTTCCAATACTAACTTTCTACAGCAGCCCCAGTCAGTAAACAGCTGAGGAATGGCAATCTGCTGTGCTGCGTGACTCAGCTGAGCTTCAAAAGACAGAAATAAAGGACAGCATAGGGCAGGGATGCGTGGGTGGGGCCAAGCGAGCACCAGAATGACCAGTTCACCCGGTAGCAATGTAGGTAGACTGGCTGAAGCGACACGGGTAGACTGGGCTGAAACGGTAGAATCTCACCCCTGGATATAACTTGTGCTACCTCTAGCATTGATATAGACAATTTCTCTCCCCAGATAAGAGAGTGATAGGTTTTCCTTGCTCATATCAGCAAGACTTTAGATTTCAAAAGGTTTATCGCTTCCATAAATGATTAAAACAACAACAAATTGCTTCCATAATTGGATTCTTCCAGATGTGTTAAGATAATAACACTCATAACTGTGCCATATAGGTAGAACAAGGCTGGGAAGATGACTATACAATAAGATGCTGAATGATTTTTTAAATTTAATGAATGTAAACAAAGAACATGTTAAACAGTATCATAGTAGACAGGAACTTTTTTAGTATGTCATTTCACAACCCACCTATGATTTCCTTTGAAATCCCATCCTTCTCAGCAGTACTTGAATATTGAAGAATTTTTGAAGACGGCTGAAGGCCCACTTCATATTTATACTCTTCATTTGAATACCATGGAAGTTTAATTATCTGATAAGAGAAAACATTTTTATATGAATAGGTCAGCCATATGCAAAATTATTCTGCTAATATTCTCAAAGGTTCAATCAAAAGGGTAAATCTGGGATTCTTTGGGAACACCCACCACATGGGTCCACCAGTTATTAGCTATTTCTTAATTCCTGTAATTTGTGTCCTAAGTGCTCTCAGTGTGCAGTGCAATAATTTAAAAACACAACTGTCTATCAATTTGTGAATCCAAGGATTCAATTATTCCCCACAGCCATAATCCTCAATGGACCCTCTAAGCTGACTTTGAAGTTCAAATATGAAAGTAAATTTTAAGTCATACAGTTTTTAACATTACTTTATAGTTAAATATATCCAATTCATACATATTTTTAACAGTTTAATTTCTGAACAGAATTCCAGTCCTTTGTATAAAGGTAGAGAGAAATCTAGTTCCAAGGCATATCAATCTCTTTTTTCATTACCACCATTCATATAAGCTTTACTTCATCCATATATATATATATATATATATAAATTATAGTAAGACAAGTAGAAATAGAATCTGCAATTAAACACAGATGTAGCACCATTATTATTATTTTGGTTTATGTTGTTTTTTGGAAGAAGTAAGGAGAATTTTTAAAAAATTGATTAAAAGTTAAACGGATAATGAGCAAGTAGTGGAATAATAAATCCAGAATATCATAAAGATGACTATATTTTAGATATCACTACAATGACACTTACAATGTCATATTATCCACTTTCTAAACAACAAATGGACCTATTGAACTTTAAGTAAAAATGCTTGATTAACACAGTGTAAATCATTAGCAAAAAAACATGAACAATATATTAAATTAAGATGTATCATTCTGAAGACATTACACCTACCTGAAAATAAAGATTGCATAGCCAGTGATCCAAATCAGAAGAAATCAACTTTTCAATTTTTTGGAATCTATCAATTCTGGAATCATAATGACCTCTGAGAAGAGGACACTTGAACTTCCCATCCACGATTTCCAAATTATTATTACATAAAGGAAAAACTCCCCAGCCCACAACTCTGCCAGAAGTTCCTTGAAGAAGAAACAGCTCAAAAAGAAGTATTTCTCCAGGCTTCCCATTCTTTCTAACTGGAACATCCTAAGAGAAAAGAGAAAAATCACCCATATAATTCACCAGCATCACTGCATTGATGCAACACTGGTTTCAACATTTGCCTTCCTGATGATCTCACCTGACATCTGTGGCTGTTAGTAGAAGAACTAGTTAGACCAGGGGTGTCGAATTCAATTTCATTGATGGCCGCATCAGGGCTGTGGTTGACCACAGGGGGGAGGGGGAGGGGGAGGGGGCATGGCTGACTGGGTGGTTGTGGCCAACTGGGTGGGCATGGCCAGCTTGACTCCACTCCCCAAACTGCTGGCATGTTTCCTCTTCACAATGGGTAGACTGGGCCAGGCCACGCTGGCCTGATATTTCCTCTTCGCATTGGGTAGACTGGGCCGAAGCAACGTAAGTAGTCTGGGCTGAAGCGACATGGGTAGACTTGGCTGAAGCAATGCGGGCTGGCCCCTTACATTTTCCAGTATGGCCCATGGGCCAGATCCAACCACATTATAGGCCGGGCCGGACCGCGGGCCTTGAATTTGACACCCCTGAGTTAGACTAAACAGTGGTGATGGGATGGTTGTAGTTCAGCAAACTTCCCACCATTTTTATTTTTTATTTTCTTTTATCACTTTGGGTGTTGAATGGTAGATTCAGAACTTTAGTTCTTGCACTTCTCCTGGCTTCAACCATTGTTATTTGATGCTGCTGTAGCATGTCTTTGGTGTTGTCTTTCCATCTTCTTCTGGGTCTGTCTCATGCTCTTTGACCTTCTTCTCTTTTTATATATGCTTTATATGGTACGGAATCCTCAGACATTCTCTCCAGATGGGCAAACCACTTTATTTACTGCCTTTGAATGTAGTTTTATGCCTTTGAATATTGGTTTTATTCCAGTTCTTTCCCTTATAATCTCATTCCTTATTCTATTACCTTCTAGTCACTCCAGCAACTTTCCTCAAACATCTCATTAATTTTCGTTGTAAGTGTCCATGTTTGGCACTGGTAACATAAGGTGGATATTAATATGCTTTGTACGAGATGTTTCTTCATACTAATCAGTACTGCCTTTTATTGTAGGAATGAAGTTAGCTGTTCATCTTCAGTAAACCTTGTAAATGTTGTTCAACTCTGTTACTTGTTTTCCTCTGTTACTTGTTGTACTTCAACTCTGATACTTATTTTCCTTCTATTACTATGTTTAGGATGTACTTTTCTCTTTCGGTTACCATTACTGTGTACTTTCTTTATTAATTCTTTCTTTACTAAATACTAATTCTCATATTATTTGCCTTACATTCTTGGTTCATGGGCATGAGATGTTTTTCCAATTGTTGTTGTTGTCCCACCATTTCTGGCCATTTAACTTAGCATATTGCATGAATCAGACGTCAACCTTATAGATGGCACAGATTAAGAAAAAGGCACCAAGTAGAACTAAAACTACTGTGCTTTTATTAGGATAGAAAAGTAATTTTATTAAAATTACTATTAAAACTAACAGTTTTTTTTTAAAAAAAAAAAAAACCGAATCCTGCAAGTGTGAATGTGCCAGCCTTCCTCCTGCTTTTATCTACATGAGAATTGTAGGGAAAGGCTCTCTGAGGCATTTTTGCAAATTACTTTCTTGGCCCCGGCTCAAATTTTGTTTATCTGATTGCTGTCTTGGGAGTAGGTCTTCTCTTCGTCCTTCAAGGCCACCCTTCAAGGTCTTCTTTACTAAATCAGGTCATCATTAAACCATAATGTCTTTTATTTGTGGGGGAGCATATGCTCCCAGCATAATATGTGAACATAGGAAATGTATTTTGTTAAGCCAACCAAATTCTATAAAAAGCAAGGGAGTGGAATGAATGAAGGTTTCTATATCAAGCCCATTACAAAGCATTAAAATAATTCCTTCTTTTAAATATAATCCTATAAAATAAGCTATTTTTGACATTTCTCCTTTCTAAGGAGAACCACAAAGCCCATTTGATTTGCAATGCATCACCAATTTTTTTTTTAAGAACATAGGGAAAAAATAATAATAGTAGTGGGAAGAACAAAACAAGAAAGGGGAGAAATATGAATTAGTTTAAACTTTCAAATTCAGAAGTGGATTTGAGGAGACACAGGTGAAGTCGGCTGATTCGAAGGCTGAACTAGGCTCATTTCCAAGCTTAGCAATATATGATAAATTGAAACATGCAACATCAGTTAAGCTATCTAGTAGAAAGAAAAAAGAAAGTGATTTGTTAACTGGTAGTAACAGTTACCTCTTTATATACAGGAACATGAAACATAAGGAAACATGGGGAGGGTAATCAATTACTTGATCAATCACAACAGATCCCACCTCCCCCCACTCTGCTCCCAGGCCTTCCATGGGTCCTTAGGTTTTAATGTTTGATTTTTAACTATGTTTTAATTGTATATGTATAGACATATTTTTCTGATTGTAAGCTACCCAGAGTTACCCTATGGTAAGATGGGCAGAAAAAACATTTTATAAATAAATAAATAAAATAAAATAAATACAACCTGACTGCTCTTTGTGGTAATCATTGTTCAATTTCTGCCTGCCAAGTTTTTATTTGTATGCCTTTTTGGATTACTTGGATGAACTTTTGACTGGATAAGATTGATCTCTCTTGGGTCATTTCCAACCTTGTGCTTGCTCTCTTAGGAATATCTGAAAAGTAACTTTTGTGTTTTATTCTTTATGCAAAGTGTCTCAGCAAACATGGTTCCTATCAATGGGGAATCTGAACTGAAACTTTTAACTTCTGCCTCTAAAGATCAGTTGCTCCAACTATGTGTCATAATTTATTATCTTCAAACAGGACCAAACATAAGCCTGAAATGCAACAATTGGAGTTTTTGTGCATTACTGTCATTGGTAGCCTCTATATCACCACTAATGAAATAGTCAATTCTACGTAATAGTCATAGAGGATGGTAACTACATCACAAAGTCTGCAACCCAAAACAAAACAATACTGTATTGGAGATAGTTACCTATCCATCTGCATATATAATATAGTACCATGAATGTTGCTTTATAAGCAGGAAGAGTCAGGATTTCATTCCTCTCAGTTCTGAAGTTCATAGTCTGATTACGTTTATAGAATGATTAAAAACAGAGGGAACTATTTGTATGGCAACCTACTTCTAGCAAAGAAGGTTAAATACATGCATTCTGTTTAATCATTTCAGTTATCCTTAATGTGAGCATTTGATAAAGACCAACAACAGAGATAATAAACACAAAAGAAATCTATCTCTATCCTCTATCTATCATAATTTTAGTTTTGTGCATTTAATAATTTTAAAACCTTTAATAATAGTAATATCAATCCTTATTGTATATATTATTTTTAGCTTTGCTGTACACTATCCAGAGTCATTCCTTGGCCATATAAACATGAGTAAATAGATAATAAATAAATGTTACTGCATTTCAGAATTTATGACTGCAAATACTTTGTCTGAAAAAGGTGGCTATATATTCATGAATAGAGCCACTGGAAGCAAAATGCCTATCTGAGATCCATCCTCTTGTTTTTGGTTGACACGTCCTTGCTAAGAAATGTAATCCCATTGATGTAATTTTACTTGCATCTTTTTCATTTTGGAAACCGTTCCAATTTTTTTCTAAAGAATTCATGTGAAATTTGGAAATTCCACATGAAGTTTGGAAATTGTAACAAAGTACTGATAAGGAAGAAAAGCATTTCAAGGTTTCTTTTTTCTTTCTTTCTTTCTCTTTGAAATTATAAACAACATCACTCTTAAATATCTGCCCACTTTACAGAAATGATTGTGTTTAAAATGAAACAAAAGCATCTACTGACAATGCCATAACCCTGCGACAAGTGCCATTATACCACTGATAGTAACTGATTCATTTCAGCTTGATTTGCATTTTTATAGGAAATAAAACCTATGGGGGTTTATAAATATTATTTAACAATTAAGAGTGAAATGACCTCCTCTTCTCCATTTGGTTCCTTGAATCTTTGATTTGTACAGAACAAGCTCAATTTAAAATTAAAGAGATTTTTTTTTCATTGGAGATAAATTGCTGGATGCTCACTTGTCCAGAAACAGGATTTTTCAGTTTAGAGGCATTTATTTAATTACATTAAATAAGCTAGATAGTATATGCAGTCAGAAAAGTTACTGCTGCTGCTATTTTCATCTTACAAAGAAGACAGAGTATTGGTCTTTTACTTTTACCTCATAAAATCCTATAGTTGCAAATGTACTTTAACTTCTATGCAATTTTGTACACACTTTTGAAAAGGACTGCAAAGTTTGGCAAAGTGGGAACATTCACAAATAGTCATGTTCCGGTTTCTGTATAGGTTTTAGGGCACATAAGTTTGATAAGTCAGCATCAAAGTGATAACTATTGTTTTTCCCATCCGTACACAGAAATCACACCCTATACTATGCTCACTAAGAATGGCAAGAATGGGACACAGTACACAGAACTGCTACTTGAGGCCGTGTCCATATGCTCCAATATGTCATGCTTTGGAAAGCATTCCTATCTGAATTTGTCCAAAAAATGAGATGCCATTAGCAGAAGCCATGAACTTGCAAACATGTGGTCTTTTGTTCAATTACTGCCTCTCCTATATTTTAGCTTCTTTGTCTCCCCCACCAAACTATCTAATTCTTAGTTTTTATTTAGAAAATTAATATGCCACCCACTCCGTTAATAGCTCTGGTTGACTTATAAAGGAAGAATAAGAATTCCCATAAAACCAATATAAAATGCATAACAGATGGAGAAGTTTTTAGAACAAAAACCAATTCAAACGTTAGCTTTACAAAGCCTCGATAATTACGTATGGGGCTTTCAACTGCAGTGTGAAGTCAGCTTGTTTAAAGTCCAGTGAGATTTTTTTTCTTCACAATATAGGCCTCACAGTGGAGAAAGCCAAATTGGTGATTGGATAATAAATGTATCCATGGCAGGATCTATAAAAGGATGTGAGTATATTGAACAATAAACAGACCTGTAAGGCTTTATTTTCACATCT